AACAAAAACCAGGAGGGACCCCTGCTCTCCAGGAATGACTTTGCCCACCCCTGGTCTTATCTGACCCTAACGGACAGTCATTGGCTATGTTTAATGGAAGCTTTCACCACAGTCTCTTTTAACAGCAGATTGTATAAAGACAAACCATTATAGTGGATATCAAACATTTAATGTGATATAAATAATACTTTCCTTGGCTTTTCTATGTCTTTCACAGGCAAACCACTGTCTTCCCGGAGACTGAGCACACTGACAACACCCTGCCCTCATGACCTGGATGCTCTGCTAGAAACAGTTACGAAGCAGGTTCAAAAGAAGGCTCGAGGCATGAAGGCACCTCTGGCTTGTATTGAAGCAGTGCGCGCTTCTACAATGCCTTACAATCAGGGAATAAAGCGGGAGAGTGAACTCATGGCCACTCTATTTAATTCAGACCAGGCTCGGGCTCTTCAGTACAGCTTCTTTGCTCAGAGAACTGCTGGCAAATGGACTCTACCAAGCGGAGCACAATGGATTGACTGCAAACCCAGAGACATACAGAGTGTTGCTGTCATAGGTATGAATGGGAGTTTCATAAGCGAACACAATTAATAACAATATGCATTCTAGTTACATTTTACTGCAGCAGCATGCTCTTTCTCAAATTGATTTGTTTTAAAGTATTCCCTTAATGTAACTAAGTGTATTGTCCGAAGACGGATTAGGCGTTTTACATGTAAAACTTGCTTCAAGATACGAAATGTTCGAGATACGAACGGTGGAACGGATTAATTTCGTATTTTGGGGTACCACTGTAAATCTCATCTGCACCACAGTGACCGTCGTGTAAACAGGCAAATCAGATTTTCTGATGCATTACCATCTTAACAACATTAATCTGGTACGATTTAGTACGAAGTTGTTCACAGGTTAATAACATCACCTGGGAAGTGTGTGACGGGTTGAAAAACATGGAGGTAAATTTAATGTTAGCTAAGTTTGCTTAAAGAAACAAGCCATCATTAAGCATCATCCCAGAGATCTTGTGCGTGTTGCTATGATTCGCATGTGCAAACATGTAAATCAATACGGGTCATGTTTAAAATAACATGTAAACAAGTGGTGAAAACCACCTGATAGTATATCACAGTTGATCACCAAGGCCTGCAGTGTAAACGAGAGAGAACTGTGAGAACTCGCACAGTGTTTTTTAATAGAAATAAATATCACAATAGCCTTATCCCAAGACGGTTTGTTCTTAATTTAGCCACAAAAACTGATTTCATATAGAAGGATGCAAATGAGACTTAAATATACAATTTGAGAGCTATTTTCCAACTTTCAACGTAGAAACATCAGAAAATAAAAGTAAGGTTGTGTTTTTAAAAAACATACATCCAGCTTTCTATGCACCTCAGTATAAGATTTATTTAATTTACGTTTATAAGTTTACTTGTTAAAAATGTACCAAGTTACATTACACAGACAAAACTGTTTACGCTTGGAAGGCAAACATTGACATTAATGTTTTCAGAAGCTGATCCTGGCAAGTTTAGCTAGGTTTTTTTTTAGAACATTTCGAGATATTGTCACAGGTGGCGAGCGAGACACGGACACACAGATACACAGTTAGAACCACAAATGGGCGTTTATTAAAACCTGCATTAAAAACATGAATTGCGTAAAAACAGTGGCTAGCTCATGCTCCAGTCCAGTCTTCAAAAGAGAAGTCTTTGTGAATCCTGGTGGTCCCACTGCCAAAGTACCCTCCAACTTCAATCGGGATACACCCCACCCACGGAATGTTGAGTCTAGATCACTTTCATGCTAAACAGGGTCTGAATTGAGATTTGCAGGAAGATTTGGCTTCATATCTTCTCGGCAGGTGCTCTTATTCGGGGTCGAGGAAATATAAAGAAGAAGAAACAGATAAGAAAGCCCTTAGAAAAAATTATGGATGTTGAGCTGTTTATACTGTTGGTGGCTGATTGACAAAAAAATGTATAAACTTTTCTGTGCGAAGATGCTATGAAAATGTAGGATGAGAGCTGCCGAGTGGCTCTTTTAGGTCCGACCCAAGTCCTCCAGTACAACCAATGAGATGACGCGGGCAAGGCTCTATCTTCAGTGGGTGAGCTGCGCATTCAGTGGGTGGAGCTTAATGCGTCTGCAGTCTGTAGATAGAGGCATCTTGTTCCGCCTTTAGACTGGTGACACACAGGTTTCCGGGCCATTGGCGTGGAATACCCGAAGTGCTAGATCCCTAGCTCTCCTAGGTTGGTCGAGGGTTAGAAGACCCCTACTCCAGCATGGGCAGCCTGATGCTTGGCAGCTCATGTTCCAGGGCAGGGGTATGCCTCCTGGACCAGGGACTCTTCAGGACCATTGACATCACTAACGGTCTGGTCGGTGTAGTGTCTGTGGAGGATTTCTCTCTGGTTCTCCCGCTCATGTTCCTCTCCCTTGCTCCTAGCTCTGCTGCTCTTTAAAGGCACATGAGCAGCACCTGGTGATTAACACCCTGCTAGTGTCTAGTGATTTTTATCTATGGAATTTCAGGAGGACCCTCCCTGAATGTGCCAAATAAGTTATTAGCTTCTCAGACATGGTCATGCTGCTATGCGGGTAGAGATAATACAGCCGAGAATAATCACAAAACACCCAACAGTGGCAAGTCCATGTAGCACACTTAGTCACATAAGAGGCGAGGGTGCTACGTCTTCCTCTGCCATAGTCTTGGGTATATAGATATACGTATATATGTGTCTGGATCAAGTTACGGCATGAACACAAACTTGAGGGGGATTTGGGTGAGAGAGCAACTGTGCTCGGAGGCAGAAAGGAACTAATTGATCCCAGTGTGAAAGCACCCTTTTCAATTGCGCATTCCCTCTGTTTTTTTAGTCAACTCTTTAACTCCTCTTGGATTCTCCCAAGCTTTTTTATAAAATAGTTTATCTTTTATTATTGTGCATTGACCATTTATGTCTCTTTGCTAGGTCTTGGCACAATGGGAAGGGGGATAGCTGTCTCTCTGGCACGAGTGGGAATTTCTGTCATCGCTCTAGAGTCAGACAAGAAACTCTTGGAGGTCAGCAAGCAGATGATAATTAACATGCTGGAGAGAGATGCTAAAAGACGAGGAGTGAGCGCCCCTCTCGATCTTCTCAAATTCACCCTCAGCCTGCAAGACCTGAAGGATGTGGACCTTGTCATTGAAGCAGTCTTTGAAGATATGGCACTCAAAAGACAGATTTTCCAAGATCTCTCCAATGTGTGTGGACCAACCACTCTGCTCAGCACCAATACCTCTGGTCTGGACGTGGATGCCCTGGCTGGTATGACCGATAGACCTCATCTTGTGGCTGGTATGCACTTCTTCTCACCTGCACATGTTATGAAACTCCTAGAAGTTGTTTGTGGACCTCGTTCTTCAAGTGAAACTATTGCAACTGTTATGAGTCTAGGGAAGAGGATGGGGAAGGTGAGTGTGGTTGTTGGGAACTGCCCTGGTTTTGTTGGAAATCGCATGCTGAAGCCTTACCTTGAAGAAGCTGCATTCTTGCTCGAAGAGGGTGCTACACCTGAACAAATCGACAAGGCTCTGGAAGACTTCGGTTTTGCTATGGGTGTCTTTCGGATGTCTGATCTTGCTGGCTTAGATGTTGGTTGGAGAGTCCGAAAAGAATCTGGTTTGACAGGTGTGGATGTCGACCAAAACAATCCTCCACGTCAACGCCAAGGTAGAAGGTACTGCCCTATTCCAGATATGGTATGTGAGCAAGGTCGCTATGGCCAGAAGACAGGTTGTGGATGGTACAAGTATGATAAACCTGGAGATACCAAGGCCAAGCCTGACCTTTCAATCCATAACCTTCTTGAGACATACAGGAGGCGGTATGGGATTACATCGCGCAAAGTCACCAATGAGGAAATCGTTGAGAGATGCGTCTTCACACTCGCCAATGAAGGATTCCGTATTCTGGAGGATAGAATTGCTGCCCGACCGGAGGATATTGATGTCATCTATCTGTTCGGATATGGATTTCCAAGCTACAGGGGTGGCCCCATGTTCTACGCCAGCACGGTCGGCCTTGAAAGAGTTCTGGAGAAGTTGGAGCATTATTACAATGCCAATCCAGATGTGCCTCATCTGGAGCCAAGTCCTCTGCTGAAAAAGCTTGTAGTTTGCGGCAGTCCTCCTCTCAACAAATGGAGAGAGCAGATTAACCTGCACAGTCATCTGTGAATGACCAGTAGAACATGACATCAATGCTCAGTTAAGTTCTCTACATAATAAACAAATTGGTTCGTACTTCAGCTTGGCTCTCATTGCGTCTTTTTTGTTTGTTTTTGGTATTTTATGGCTGTGCCATTTAGACATTTTTTAAATCCATGTTTTGCTGCTTCCATTGGTTCTATGCGTGGTCATTTCCTTAGACTCTGTTTGGGATGATGGTGCAAAAACTTATTTTATATACCCAAAACTGTACATACAACAGATCCAGAGGTAGGTAGAGAAATTCTCACTCAAAAGAAAGAACAAGCTAAATATTACAAATTAAAGATATTCCAATAACTTGTGAGCACTACTTTATTGAAAAGAGGCACAAGCCAGACTTCGATGCAGTAAGGGGATCTGAGCACCAGGCCATCATGTTTTTAACATGTTTCATGTTCCATATTTAAAACTGTGCTGTGCCCTTGAGTCATTTCTTGACACACCAGAACAGTGTTTCATTCACCACACAGCAAAAAAGTTTAGGAAGGATCCTGTATTAGCTTTCTTGGATTAGATTTGCATATTGAAATGTACTGTTCTGTTTACAGTACATGCCTCCTTTTGGGTTTTTAGTAACACTTTTATAAATAATTTAAGGGAGTCATAAATTGGATATTTTTTTGTGTAGTCCATTGTAAGTCATGCAGTCAGTAAGATTCAGCACCTCTCTAAAGGCCTCTATACAACTCAAATTCAGATTTATATTTGAAAGAATGAACACATTTTTTGTCAGTTCTTGCTTTACCGTTTATTTGAACCCAAAACATTTGCATTTTTAGCGCAATGCTCTACCAACTGAGCCACAGAAAAGCTTGAGAGGGAATGTTCTGCCCAATGTGCTCTGAAGATAGACACTTATCAGAACCAGGTGAGCCTGGTTTAACAAATTTCATTGGAGTTTAGTTGTCTTTATAATTTATTTCATAACTTAAAACTTAGTATTTATTATTAACATGAACGTTATTAATAGCACATAGGTGAGGGAATTTCTGATCGATCCATCCATACTTTCACCCACCCACCCTTCTTCCATACAAGCCCAACATTCCACCCACACACCCAAGGCCATCCACCCTCCATGCAACCACTTTATCCTCAATCCCCCTACTCATTCTACTTACACCCACCAGCCCATTCATCCAGCCATCAACCATTCCTTATGCACTCACTCTCCAATCCATCCACCCACCCATCCATTGATCCATCCACCCGTCCATTCATCTACCCATCCAAGTCAGTCACAAAGCATCCATCTTAATTTGCCACAGAAATCAAAGGTGAATAAAGTTTCTTGTTTCATGACTCAAACTTCTGAATCTAAATGCATATAAATAGTAACCCTCTGTAAAGACATGTTTTGGTTAGTACTCAGTGTCATTAAAACTTTTAATTAATTTGCCTTTAAGGATCTATGTGGAATAGCTTGACTTTTGTGTAGAGAGCACATGAATTGAGACATGTTTTGCTGGAAGGAATTCTTTAATTACTTGCTGCTACTCAAATATTACTTCTTTTGAGAAAATTCTTGTAGAAAACCAATAATCAAGATGTAAATATTAGCCTTCCCTTCAACCCAATATGATGGACCGGAATAGACTTATAAATAAACTGGAAATAAATGCATGGATAAATAAACACAAAAATGGACAAATATATAATTAGCAAAATAATTCATTCATATTCTTTCAGGGTTACGGGGGTCTGCTAATGCTCCAGCGCACATCAGGCGAGAGTACACCCTCGACAGGTTGCCATTCCATCGCAGGGCACATTCACACCTAAGGGGATTTTAGATTATTCAATTAACCTGATGCATGTTTTTGGGATTGTGGGGAAACCAGAGTCCCCTGAGGAAACCCACGCAATTACGGGGAGATCGTGCAAACTTCTTCCAGGAAGGTCACTCGACCCTCAAATCGATAACCTTCTAACTGAAAGGCCATAGTGCTGCCCACTGTGGGTAGATTTAAATTCATATATGCTTAAATAAATTTGTCACTAAATCCATGAATAAAATGTTTTATAAAGTATATTTTCAAATAAATGCATTTACTGATGAATACATGCATTTAATTAATTCATGTTTTTTCTGTCTGCATCTGTATTTATTTTTTGTTTTCTCTATTTCTACATTTTTTTGTTTCTATATTTATGTGTCCCTATGCTAATTAGGGAGTGCTAACTTCAGTCTAAACCTTTTTCTATTTCTATTTATTATTTATTCTTTCGTTAGTTAATAAAGTAATGAATTAATACATTTACGTATTAATTCCTTTATAGTCCACGGTAATTAATATATTTATTTACTCTTAAGTCATTTTGGGGCCTCCGGCTGTCATCAGAACAAACAAAGCAGTTGACTGGTTGACATAAATATTTCAAATGTTTGAGGGTTAAACAAAACAAAGATGATGAACTCCTGGGAGTCGCGGCGGTCACTGCTATTTACAGCGCCCTCTGTCGTTAGAGTTTCGCTGTTGCGCCTGCGCGCCACTTAACGTGCTCGCGGAGCTCGGGCAGCGCTCAGTCCGCCGGCAGCATCCGATTAGACAGAAGCGCCTGCGAGGAACAGTCGCATAACTTTACGTATATGCGTCCAAGCAACCCTTTTATTAATTTGTGAACGTTCCTGAACCATTTACGCTTAAACTCCTGGCTCAACGAGGATCTTACCTTTCATTCTTCACGATTTCGCTTCATTTTCTCTCGGCAGCCAAGGATTTACCTCGTCGAGATTTGTCAGTTTGACATGGAAAAATGTTTTTCTCCAGATTTAGAGAGATCACAAGGCCATGATACAGAAGAGACCAGCAACAGCGACGGTGTAAATTGGAAGGTATGCAAATTTAAACTCTACACTTGCACATCACAGGACATAAATAGTTTTCTACTTTTATTTACTTTATTTTATATTATATAATGTGCAAAAAAAAGGTGGCATTTATGCTCAGATTGTTGTCTGGTTATCTTCTGGCTCACAGTGTGTTTCTCCAACAGCAGTCATGGCTTACAGCGGGGCGCAGAAGGCTTTGAAGAGTGATAAGTTGGATGAAGCTCAAGCTCTGGCCAGAAGCTGTGCAGGCCGACCAGACTTCCTGCCCTGTGATGGACTGTCCATCTGCGCAACACACAGCCATGGAAAGTGTTTCAAACTCCACTGGTGCTGCCATTTAGGCTGGTGTCACTGTAAGTGCCCAACTTCTTCCTTTCAAATTATGTCAGCTATAATGTCCTTGTCCTTGACAGTGATTGTTCGTGTGTGTGCTTTTGTGTGTGTAATGGAACCAGTGCTGTCTGATGTGGTTTTATCTGCAAACAGAATTTCGATGTTATTTCCTTAAACAAAGAGCTGCCGAATGGAGAAGCACTCGATTGTTAAAATTGATGAGCTCCGATTCAAAGTCGAATATGTGCGTTTTGGTGTGTGTTAGGTTCTAATTACCACCATTCCACTCCAGAGATCGCCTACAAGTGGACCAGCCTACTCCGGAGATGTGCAAAGTCGTAGAACACCCTAAATATTATAACTTCACGCAGTGTAGACACTTTGATTGGTCCATGCAGTAGTTGAGCATTTCTGGTGTTGGGTAATAAGAGTAGGCTCATATGCTGTCGTCTCCTTAACGAACACAAAAACAGAGAAGAGGAAGGAGAATAGACACAACAAATATCCTCTCTCCTTCCCCAATTGCAGTTTAAGTGATTTGAGTGACCATGATTGTTTTTTGCACATCAGTGTACTCAAATGCACACTGGAAAATGAACTACATTAAAAAAATGCAGCATTTTTGCACTGTTGGCTTCTGGTTTACACTGGTTTATTCCTGTAGGTAAAGCTCTGTTCACAATTTTTTAACAATGAATATTTAGTAAAGTGAGAATGAGAAAAACTGATGTGCTCTTCCAAACACTGGCTCACTCCTTATTACCTGTCTTTTTTGTCGCTGTATGACTATTCCAACCTATAGGACTACATATGAAAGTGACCTGGGTCATGTTTGTAAAAATCATAATTGAGCCATTCAGACAGTCATGCCCTATTACGGAGGTTGGCAACCTGTGGCTCCCTGGAGCTTTTTCAAAAATGTTTGAAAATGGAGAAAGATGGGTGAGGGAAATATGTTTTTTGTTTTAATATTTCTGTCAGAGAAGATTTGCGTCATATCCTGAGACACACGTTTCTATCAGTAGAACGGGATGCCAGGCAGGTGGCTGTTGTAAACAAAACAAAAAGGTATATACTTTACCTTTTCAAAAGGCTGCTGTTTTATTTTTATAAATGCAGGATGAGTTTTATTGCTCTCTGTTTGTTGCTCCGATGAGAGGCATGTTATGCACGTTCCATTTTTTGGAATCCTCAAAATAAAAGACATAAAAATTGGATTTCTTTATTGCATTTCTTTAATTTCATCAAAGCAATGGAACATGATTCATCAATATTGTAATGAAGATAAACTTGAGGCGGCATCGTACAACAGAGTAGTCACGTGGAGCGTCATTCTCTACAGGAAGCGCTGCAGGAAAAATAAACATTTAATCATGAAGCTCATTATGTATTTGTAGCCAACTTATTCATTTTGATAGTAGGCTAATATCGATGCATACAGCATGTGTTGCCTTCATTATAACGCTTCTATAAGGCTTTTCATTTTTTGCGGCTCTAGACATATTTGCTTTTTTGGACCAATATGGCTATTTTAACATTTTGGGTTGCCGACCCCTGCCCTAATAGGATACAGATTATTACATATGGGCTGCAGTGTGAACACAGCCATACATGTCAAAACATCCAGCACTTTTTATTGCCCAAACATAAAAAACCCATTGCATCTATGTTGGCAGCTATAGGTGGCATTGTCACAACAATGTTTGAAGACATTACCCCTGCTTAACTTCAACTTCACCTCAAGATTCTCCAGTGGCTAGGAATACACACAGGAAGCATCTGCTTTGCCCCAATAGAAGTATATTCACTTCCTTCAGTTCATGTCTCCGTGACTCAGAGCAGGTCCTGAGAGCGGTCATTGTGTTTCGGCAAAGGAAATGTCTGCATGAGGCCTTTAAAAGTGTGGGAACTGAACAAGTGCGCTCTCACGTTACCGTTTGAATTTTGAACGCTAATAGAACATCATCCTCAGCAGCACTAAGAACATCCTCACTGTCTTTATATTGTATTTCGTCATTGTTTTCCAGTTGTATATTTGTTGAAAAACTGTCAGCATTCGAACAGCTTGATGAAGAAAGGAAATGCTTAAATATTTAAATAAGCTGCTCACATGATTTGATCACTGATATTTAAACACTTCTTTACTTTTATTTGTCTCCATTCTTATGTTTAAATATTTAAAGTGACCCGGCTCCCGTGGAACAGTGTGTGCTGGACACGTACATGAAGGTGCACGGTGATGATGTGGATTCAAATCCTGAACCTGTTGTTATTTCCCAGCCTTTTCTGTTTAAAATAAAGGCAAAAGGACAAAATATTATTCATTCATTCATTTTCCAACCCGTTTATTCCCATTTTGGGGTCATGGGGGTCCCCAGCGCACACCCTGGACAGGTCGCCAGTCCATCGCAGGGACAAAATATTACTTGAGGTTAATGAATTAATTGAGGTCACTCATATCTCAATTTCAGAAGTAGTGACTGAAGCAGCCGACTGAAAGTTTTATTTTTTATCATTTTCATTCCAAGATGTCAAAAGAAGTTTGATAACACAATGTGTCGTTTCCTAATTGAACAGCCCAGGAGTGTTCAAGCTAAAACCCTAAAATTACTTTGTGGAAAGTTTCAATGTTGAGCTATATCTA